GGCTTCCTCCAATCTGTGCCTGACCCGTAGTACTCCCCGCCATAGGTTCGAGATCCTCCCTGTTCGCCGCGACATCGATCCTTCCTCTGTCGTCCGCATGTAGGGATGGCAATGGGTCGGGTTTTTCCAAACCCAAACCCATGGGTTTATCCGTGAAAAAAACCCGGGGTAAAATGCACTGGGTTTGAAAAACTCAAACCCAACCCAACTCGCTGGGTATCCGCGGGTTCATGGGTACCCACAGGTTTTTGTCGTAAAATTTTTTCAATAACAAGTTCCTATCAAAATTAAATTCAAATATAAATCTCTCAATAAAAATTATTCATATATAAAACACCATTCTAGAAAATTCAAGCAAATCACAAATTAACTATACAAATTGTTCAACACCAATCTAGAAAACTCAAGAAAATTGAAGCAAATCACAAATTATCCATAAATAACATGATTAATTCAAAGCTTCTTCCTTTCAATTAAGTTTCTTCACTCTCCACTCGATAACATAACTTCATTCTACACAATTAGAAAGAAAAAATTAGACATGTCTCCACAAACATTAATAAGATTGATTGTTAAGAATAGTTGTTAAGAATATTAAATATACCCAGAAAATTAATTATATGGGTTTGGGCGGGTACCCATGGGGTGGGTTTACCTAAACCCAAACCCAACCCAACCCGATGAATAGTGAACGGGTTTAAACCCAAATCTGGCCCAAAACACGTCAACACGGATTTTACCCGCGTTGACCGGGTTGGGTCGGGTGGGTACCCGTGGGTTCGGGTTTTGTTGCCATCCCTATCCGCATGTACTTATGTAGGATAACCTTCGCCCACAGCTCTTCCGGGTTCGTGATGAGATGCCAGGCAATTTTCAGCATATATGCCTCATTCGTTCGGGTTGCCGAACGCATACCTAGGCCGCCTTCCTCTTTTGGTCTACATATCGTGTCACAATCCACTAGGTGGACTTTCCTCCCTCCTTCTGTACATCCCCAGATGAACACTCTGATTTTTTTGTCGATGTAGTCCCTGACGCTAGCCGAGAGGAAAGACGTCTGCATGGTGTACAATGGTAGGGATGACAAGACCGACTGGGCAAGCGTAATCCGCACCACCAAGCTCATGGATTCAGCTTTCCATCCTGCCTGAAACATCCCACTACTTTGAACTTGGAAAAAGACATTTCTACCCCGTGGTAAAATTCAAAACTTCAAATTAGACCACTTCAATTAAAATACCAATCTTAAATATCTTAATATCTCAAAGCGAAGCCCTAAACACGTGGGAAAAACTTAAATCGTACTCTTCAAAAGAAACAAAAGAAATGAATCTCCAGTTTATAACTCTTAACCATAAAGTCTTAATAACTTCAAAAGTTCCTCGATGATTACTCTGACGCTTGGCTCGACATCTCTCAGCAGCGGTGGTGTTGAGCTCTTCTAGCTTGCTGATCATGGACTGGTTGGCTATGATCTCCTCCTCTACGATCTGGTGAGTGAGTTGGGGTTAGTGAGTCTACGCCCTTATGTTTGAAATCTCTAGTATTTCTTACTTAAGAACTTAACTTAAACTGGTGGAATGATACTTCCACTCTTTAAAATTTATTCTTAAAGCTCAAATCTCAACTTAAATATCTGACTGACACTGGGATCCCTCACTAGCTAGTCCGGTTGCCAACTAATATGTATGAGAGCCCATCCATGCTTTCCTTAAACTTAAATTTATCGTGGTGGCTCTTCACCACGATTCTCAAGAGCATAACTGCTGCTCATCTTAAAAATATCACGAGAATAACTGTTGCTCATCTTAAAAAGTCTCAAGGGCATAACTGCTGCTCTATCTCAAAGATCTCAAATGGCAACGGACTGACGCAAGTGACTAAAAACACTTAAAATGACCTCACCTTCTTCAAGGTGAGTTACTTCTTAGAAAGAAAAAAAAGAGAACTTGGTTCTTACACTTTAATAATAACTCCTAATTGCAAAGCTTTAAAGTAAATAACAACTCATACATAATCACTCTACAATCTACACAAAGCTCAAACAAAGCACATATCACCAATCATAAACACAATCTAGCAATAACAATCACTTCATCAAAATATTTAAAGCTCGTCAAACTTGAAAGGACACGTAAGGTGTAGAATTCACCCCCTTTACACTCACCTTGAAAAGATGACTCCTCGATTCCTCACTCGATGAAATCCCTCCTAGCCGAATTATCTCGGTGAACCTATTAATAAGAAGGCTATCTCCTTAGTCGACCTTTCTCGATTTAGAATTCCCTTTTGAATGACTAGAACATCCTTTCCTAAAAATCTAGCCCTCGAGACTCGCTCCAAAGGTCCCTTAACCCCCTTTAAAATTTTTCCAGAAATAATCCCTTCAAAACCAACTATTTTTTCCATAATTATTTTTGCCTTGGACGAATTTTTCACCTAACTTGAACCTTCTTAAAAATTTGGATAATAATTTTTCTAGGTCAATCATGAGCACCTATACCCTGGAAAATTATCAGACCCTTAAAACCCCCTCGGAAAGATTTTAATTTAATTAAAATTAATATTCGAACAATTTCTAAATATAGAAATACATAAAAGTAGTAAACCCAGGAACAAACACCCAGAGAGACTCAAAAAAATTTAAAACGTCTAAAATAAGTTTATGCAAATTCCTGGAAGCTTTAGTGACCACCCAAAATCTATCACTAAAAGCCTGTAACGTCTGTTGCTAAAAACTCAAAATTGCACCCTCACGAAATATCCCCAAATTAATCGACCTGACTCAAAGGGATCGAGTTCCCTTACCTCTAGAACGTGCCTAGGCCTAGAAAACGGCTGCGAGCGGCACTGCCGCTTTCTTCTTTTTTCTTCTTCTTCCGCCTCGCGCTGGGGCTGGGGACAAGAGCAAGGGCAGGGGGTTGAATTTTCTGGGGATTGTTAGGGTTGGGGTTTCTCGTTGCTGCTGGGGAACGGGAAAGGCGGCTGAGAATTTTCAGGGGAAAAACAAAGAGAGGGCAGGGGAGGGGAGGGGTTTTGCTGATGCGATTGTGAGGGTTGGGCCGCTCGGTCCGTCCCACCAGAATTATCCATATTTTTTTTATAATAATACAATAATAATAGTTATTATTATTATTATTATTACTAATCCGCGATTGCAACTTTTAGTACGCAATTGCCAACCCAACCGATCACGTATTCAGGTCGAACCTAACCTAAAGGTCGGAGTGTTACATTTCCTCCACCCTTATAAAAATTTCGTCCCCGAAATTTGAACGATATTGTAGCCCCTTTTACGATGCAACGTTGTTGTTGAAGGGATGACGCAGTTGAGATATGACATTTCCCTCTCCCTTAAGAAATTTCGACCTCGAAATTGTAGGTTGAACTGGGTTGCTAGCTATTGTGAAACCGGACAGAACTACCAAGTCTTATTATTGAAAAAAAAAACGAGAAATGAGAACTAACAAGAGAACTAAAAGTTAGAGTACATAGAAGTTCGCCAACTACCGATCTAAACACCATTAAACAACTCTGGGTACTTCTCTCTCATGATACTCTCTGTCTCCCAAGTCGCAGCCTCGCTGCCCTGGTTTCTCTATACCACCTTTACCATGGCAATCTTCTTCCTCCTGAACTCCTTTTCCTGCCTATCCACAATCTAGACTGGGACCTCCTTATAGGTCAAATCATCCTCCAACTGGATGTCCTCATGCCTGATCACATGCTCCAGGTTGGATCGATACGCCCTTAGCATGCTGACGTGGAAAACGTCTTGAATCCTAGATAGGCTATGAGCTAAGGCTAGTCGATAGGCTAAGGGTCCAATGCGCTCCAGCACCTCGTATGGGCCGATATACCTTGGACTAAGCTTTCCCTTCTTACCAAATCTCATCACTCCCTTCCAAGGGGACACCCTTAGGAATACCATATCACCCACTTCATAACTTCGCGGGTACCCTGGCCTCTCAGCATTACTCTTCTGCTGGTCTTGATCTGCCTTCAAGTTCCGGCGAATCACCTCCACCTTCTCCACTGCCTTCTGTACCATCTCCAGACACTCTTGCTGTCGCACACCCTCTGCATCACAGTATAATGGTGTACGACACTTCCTACCATACAATACCTCATATGGAGCTGCTTGTATCGAGCTGTGATACTAGTTGTTGTAAGCAAACTCCATTAGAGGCAAATGCTCGTCCCAAGCTCCTTCCATGGTTAAGACACACGCCCTCAGCAGGTCCTCCAATGTCTGAATCGTCCTCTCTGACTGCCCATCCGTCTGGGGGTGGTATGCGGTAGAGAAGTGAACTTTAGTGCCCATTGCCCTTTGAAGACTCACCCAGAATCATGCCGTGAAGCTAGGGTCGCGATCAGACACGATACTAAGTGATGCGATCCAAATCCGAAGAGAACCCTCGAACTCGGATTATATGACCAAAGTACGCAGCCTTCCTTCTTTTTACGGAATTTTCGAAGTTTTTCTTGACAACATGAAAATAAAGGATAGATATGGAACACTATCAACGAGATTCCAACTCGTGTGAAGGGCCAATTTGTATATGAAACCAATCAAACAATCACCCACTCGTGAATAAGGCCAATCTATTGGGTAGAAGCTCGCCACAACTAGACACGTTCTCTAGTTGATAAGAGACACGTGAAACTCCTGGAGATTCTCGACAGAAGCTTGCACAAACGTTCACAAAGGAACACGAGTAAAAACTCTTAATTGATAACTTGAATGTTGGATACCAAATTCGTAGCTATTACACCCTCTAATTATAGAGGTCTCAAAAACATGTATCTAACTTAAAAGAAATAGGAAAACAAATCCCAAACTAACTAGTAAACATAATAATTAATTAAACAAATAAAACAAACAAAACTCCTCTTGCACAGCACGTCGCAGTTTGGTGGGACGGGATACAATAACAACACTAAATGTGTTGTTACAATAACAACAGGGGTAAAAGGGTCACATTGACCCAAAATTAATAAAATAAAAGTTAAATTAATTGACTTTCTCGGCTCATGCGCTCTCTTCCTCTCCAACATAAATTGCTCCCAGTCCCAGATCTATATTCCATTCCCCGGCGACGGTTGTCTTTCTCCCAGCATGGCGGTGCTCAATTTCCCGCCGCCAGATCTGAGGCGAATCGCTAGCGGACTCCGTGCGGCCCCCCGATAGGCATAAACGTTAGCTTCTGCCCTAGCATCAACTGCACGAGCCATCGCCCTAGCTTCCGCTTGCATATCCTCAGCTCGACTACCTCCTCCTCCTCCTCCTCCTCCTCCGGCGGCTCCGGCTGAAACGAGGACCAGCCCGCCGTTACCGTTATCCCTTGTCGCAGGAGCTACTCTGACCGGCCTCGATTCCACGATGGCGGCGCGTGGGGTCTTCAGATAAGGCAGCGAAGGTCGCCGGCGCGGCGGTGGCGTCGTCCTGAAGTTAGGGAGCGGCCCCGAAGCTAGGGAGTGGCCGCCGGTGGAAACGAGGCTCATCACCATCGCTGAAGCAGCAGCACTTAGTTAGTCTCCCCTCTCCTCTTCCTTCCGGCGAGAGGATGAAATTGAAACGACGTGGAGAATCCGAGTTGGCGGAATTGATGATTTCCGTCGTCTTGTACGGTTTAACTTCTGGCTCCAACCACGGAATCGTGTCCGTCCGTGCTCCGTTTGTTACTTTGTTATAATCCTCACATTGATGATGGCCGGCGTTTTGACCAGAGACAAAGCCGTGGAGGGTTGGAATTGTAAGCGAAGATAAGTTTGGGTAGCATTTGTGAATTTTCCTATGGCGGCTTTTCCATTTTCTACGGGATCGGTGGTTCATTGTTTTTTTTTTGGTAGAATGGTTCATTGTTTGTTGTCGTGTCGTGTTGGAAGAGGAGTTCCAGTTTGCCAGGTGACATGTCACGCCACTATTGCTTTCCCAGTAGCACTGACCATTTCTCGAAAATTATTAGTCAATGACTTCCGTCTCAAGCAATTGGATCGGATACTTAACATCTCCAGCTTAGCTTAGCTAATTACGTTGTTAATTGCATCGATAAAACACGGTAAAGCAAACCAAAAACGTCCTAATGCAGACCATAAATATATTAAAACAAACCAGAAACCTCGAAAAGCAAATCACAAAAGTTTCGAAAGCACACCAGAAACACAATAAAGCAAACCACAAACACGATAAAGCAAACCACAAACACGATAAAGCAAACCACAAAAACAAACCAGAAACGTCCTAATGCAAACAAAAAAATCTATTAAAACAACCCAGAAACCTCGCAAAGCAAACCACAAATATATTAAAACAAACTAGAAACCTTGCAAAGCAAACCACAAAAGTTTCGAAAGAACACCAGAAACTTCTTAATGCATACTATAAACCTTCTAATTCAGACCACAAATCCCCTAAAACAAACCAGAAACCCCACAATGCAAACCACAACATTTGCGAAAGCACACCAGAAACCTCATAATGCAAACCACAAACACAGTAAATCAAACCACAAAAAAGCAAACCATAAACGTCCTAATGCAAACCACAAATATATTAAAACAAACCAGAAACCCCTCAGTGCAAACCACAAAGTTTTTGAAAGCAAACCAGAAACTTCTCAATGCAAACCACAAACACAATAAAGCAAACCATAAAAGGCATACAAAAATATGAGAAACCAAACCATAAATCTCACAATGCTAACCATAACATCCGGTGATCGTTGACCATTGACCGGTCAATGAAGACCGTTGACCGGTCAACGAAGTTCGTTGACCGATCTCCAGTGACCGTCTGTGACCGGATTCCGGCGCCGATAAGCATATTCCAGCCCCGATGACTAGATTCCAATGCCGGTAAGCATATTCCGGCGACAGTGAGCATATTCCGATGACAAAATAGCATATTCCGGCGACAAAAAGCATATTTCGTTGACCGACGACCAGTTTCCGGCGACCGGTGGCAGAATTCCGGCGACCACATTTTTATGCAGAAAATAAAAAAAAATTATTTTTTTTATTTTTTATTTTTTATTATTTAAACAGATTTTTCATAATGACAATTATACCGCTGCTTTGATTTTACACTAAGTCAACTCATTTAATAAAAAGTCATCACAATTCTAGCTTCCTATTGGTTGGAGGCTAGTGTTGTTACAATAACAACATAAGGGGTGTTGTTATAGTATCTAGTCCCCAGTTTGGTCTTCATGCTGAACCTTCTTCTTCACGGAATTGAGCTCCGTTCCACATGTCCTTCTCCTTAGCGGATTTGTAATTTCGTCCGCCAATTGTCCTTCCGTACAATTAATTCCACGACAGATGCGGATGCTCTTTTCATTTTCGGAATCAATTTCCCTCTATTCACAGAACCTCCACGTGAGCTTGTGAGACTCCTGCTTGCTTGCCATGAAGACAAATTAACCAAAAGCAAATAAATTGCTTTCCACGTGAGGGCATGGCTATGATGAGTCATAGAATAATTAATCACCCTGCTAATTACACCATGCATAAAATTCTCATGCCCTACGTGTTGTGCTCCTGGCAGTAGTTTCAAGCGCCATTTATCCATTAAGAATGCTCCTAATTGATCTTTAAATTGTCGAACCCGAATCTTCATTTTGGACCACGGGAATTAAATATGGTGCGAGTCGATATCGCATCACTAAGTGGAACTCCATGCAATCTCACTATCTCCCTCACATACAACCTAGCCTGCTCCTCCAACCCTGGCTTGAACTTGATGGGTTTAAAACGAGCCACCTTCGAAAAGCAATCCACAATCACCCATACTCCATCATTTCCCCTTGGGGTCCTTGGTAAACCATACACAAAATCCATGGTGATCATTTCCCAATTCTACTGCGGGATCTCTAACGGTAGGTGCTCAATGACTGTAGCTTGATGTTCAGTCTTTATCATTTGGCACTCCAAGCATTGGTAGACATGTTCAGCTACCTCTTTCTTCAACCCTGGCCACCAGAAATGCTCCTTGAGGGTACAATACATCTTAGTAGCCCCAGGGTGAATCGCATAAGGTGTAGAGTGAGCCTCATCTAGAATATCCTTCCTTAGCTTGTCGACATCTGGGACACACAGCCTTCCTTGATACATTAGTACCCCATCTACTAGTTCAAATTTGGTGTCCTTCCCTTCTAACACTCGCTTCTTGTACTTCTCTAATTCCATATCTTCACTCTGCTTCTCCTTGATTCGTTCCTACAGCATAGGACGAATTTCAAAGTTGATAACAACTTTGTCACCTCATAGATCCAATTCCATGTTCATGGCCCTCAAAGAGACCAACTCCAGTAAAGGGCTCTCCCTCTTCCCGCTCTAGGCGTCAACCACCACATTTGCCTTTCCCGGATGGTACTTAATGGTGTAGTCATAATCGCTCAACAGCTCCATCCACCTTCTCTGCGTCATGTTCAACTCCTTCTGATAACTCAGGTGTTGGAGGCTCTTGTGATCCGTGAAGATGGTGAACGTCTCGCCGTAGAGATAGTGTCTCCATAACTTCAAGGCAAAGACCACTGCGGCCAACTCTAGATCATGGGTGGGGTAGTTCACCTCATGGAGCCGTAGCTGCCTCAAGGCATAGGCGATCACCTTCTTATCCTGCATCAGTAAACAAACCAAGCCTTGGTAGGAAGCATCGCTATAGATGGAATACTCCCCACCGCTGGTCATTAGTGCCAGCACTGGTGCAGAGGTCAGCTTCTCCTTCAGCAACTCAAATGCTGTTTGACACTTCTCGTCCCAAACAAATGTCTTCCCCTTCTGCAATAGTTGTGTCATGGGTCGTGCAATGCTGGAGAAACCTTCCACAAACCTAAGGTAGTACCCAGCTAAACCCAGAAAACTCCGCACTTCGGAAACATTCTTGGGTGGAGCGCAATTCGTTATCGCTTCAATCTTCTTGGGATCCAGTTCAACTCCACGTCTAGAAATCATGTGACCCAAGAACAAGACCTCCTGCAACCAAAAGTAACACTTTGAGAACTTGGCATATAGCTTCTCTTCCTTCAACTTCTGCAAAACCACCCTAAGGTGCTCTTCGTGCTCTTTCTTACTTCTCGAGTAGATTAGTATGTCATCTATGAAGATGATGACAAACTTGTCCAAGTACTCTTGAAGAACCCGATTCTTTAGTGCCATAAAAACAACCAGTGCATTGGTCAGTCCGAACGACATGACAAAGAATTCATAGTGGTCGTACCTAGTGCGAAAAGCCGTCTTGGGTACTAAACCATCTGCCACTCTCAACTTATGATACCCTGACCGCAAATCGATCTTCAAGAACACCCTTGGTCCTTATAGTTGGTCGAAGAGATCATCTATACTTGGAAAATGATAGCGGTTCTTGATGGTAGCCTTGTTCAGCTTCCTATAGTCAATGCACAGTCTCATACTGCCATCCTTCTTCTTCACGAATAACACTGGTGCTCCCCATGGTGATACACTAGGGCGTATGAACCCCTTCTCCAATAGCTCCTGCAACTGCTCCTTCAACTCCTTTAACTCCACTGGTGCCATACGGTAAGGAGGGATAGATATCGGTGTCGTGCTAGGAATAACTTCAATATCGAATTCCACCTCTCGATGTGGCGGTAGCCCAGGAAGATCTTCGGGAAATACCTCTGGGTATTCCCTTACGACAGGTACTTCTTCTATCTTCTTCTCTTGCACCTCCTAAACATGAGCTAAATATGCTTCACATCCGTCTTGAATCAATGAGAATGCCCTAACCCCGGAGATTAAGCACCCAGGAATAAGCTTCTTAGTCCCTTTGAACAAAGTAGTGCCCTTTCCTTCTATCTCCAGGCTAACCTCATTCTTGTAGCAGTCCACCTTCGCTCTATTCTTTGACAGCCAATCCATACCCAAGATAACGCCAAACTCGTCGAAGGGTAGTAGAATTAGGTTCGCCTCGAATTTGCCCCGCCATGATGATAAGACAATCCCGAATGACTGAGACCACTATAAGGGTATCCCCCACTGGAGTCCTGACCCCTAAATTCTGCCCCAACCTCACAAATGGGACTCCTAAGGTTCTATCAGCTTGGTAGAAATGAAAGAGTGCGTGGAACCGGAATCAAATAATACAAAAGTTGGCTAGTGGTAAAGCGAGATCATACCAGTTACCACTTCAGGTGCAGCGTCAGCTTCTTCTCTCCTCATGGAAAACAGTCTTGGTTGCCCAGATGCTTGAGATCCTTGCCCTCGATCTCGCTCCTTGCCCTCGATCTCGCTCATTGCCTCCCTACTGGTGATAAGACCGGTTTGGCTGGTTGCCAAACTGTTGTCCGGTCTGAGTTCTTCCTCCTCCGCCCCAGAATGATTGTTCGGACTCGGCTCTCCCCTGCCCTCCTCTCCTAGGGAAATCTCTAGCATAGTGGTCCGCCTCGTTGCAGTGATAGCAGATGCCTCCCGATGCACCTTACACTCTCCCCGGTGAGTCCTCCAACACTGGTTGCATGGATCCCGAGGAATATAGGTTGGCCCTGATCTGGTTGAGCCGTCCTGACTCTGGGTGGCCCCATAGTAGCTCTGGGATGGTCTCCTTCTCTGCTGAATCGGCTTTCCAGGCCCCTCAGACAAGCTAGCAGCCTTTTTCTTATTCCCTTATCGTAGCATCCCCTCCTCATGTAGAGCTATATCCGCCCTCTCCAACCGAAGAGCTGCCTGATAAATCTCTTCCCTGTTGTTCCAATTCAGAATACTCAGCTGGCACCTAAAAGCAGGCTT